CGTGCACAATAGAGGAGAAGAGGAAAGAGGAAAACGCCGAGACATCCCCCTGGGCGACCATGGTATAGAGAAAGTCAAGAGAGAAAAAGAGAGTCCGCGCACGGCTGGCCGTATGTCGACGCACCCGGTTGTTCCAAATCCGCGATCAACGAGGAACACAGGATGTATCGTATGTCCTCTCACGCGACTCTCGTGCAAGTTCCTTGCTCCAATTCGACTTTTATGCATGATTTCAGCAACACGCGTTCTCATTTTACATGTGTACACCGGTTCTCGTACCAACAAAAAAAACACGTCACGGCTACAATGGGCTGTTTTTTTTTTTTGTTATCTGGGATCTGAGGGTGACTCTCGTCCCGGATTGGCAGAGGCAGACGCAACTCGTCTCACTGTTGCCAGAAGAAAACCGGCCGAAGGATAACACTACGAGTATCCTCGACGACCGTTCCTTCGGACAGGCGTGTACGCGCGCGCGTTTACCTCTACCCCCCTTTGTTTTGTCGCCGGGAACGCTTTCGCGTGTTTCCGCGACAGAAAAATACGAGAAAAAAAAACAGATCTACGCGCTGCGAACAACGTGGCGCAACTCCGGTCCTAAGATCGCGAACCTCGGCGTCTCGTCACGGAACAAACGAAAACTTCGAAGGAAGACGTACAACAAACGTGCGTGGAAGACGTACGGAATGCAAAAAGGCGATAACGAAATGTGTGAGAGAGCTTTTAAAGTTGAAATTCCAAAATAAATAAAAAAATCAGAAAGAGACGCGTTTTCCGCGGAGCAGAGGAGCCTGTAAAAAAAGGACTCCGAGCGTGATTTTTAAGTATCGACCCCTCTCTTTTTTTTTTCTTCTTCGAACGGCACGAAAAACTAGATTCAAGGCAACAAGTCTCTGACGGTGAAAAAAAACGACCTTCGCTCTATCAATGCGAGCATCTGTCCAATGTAATCTTTTCTTTCGAGGTGTATCGCGCGCGACACACACACAACACACGCTGACATGCGTTGAAAAGAAGAGAAGTGGAGGGCAGAACGCATTCCCGTCTGCCGTGACGAGCTTGGCAATATAGAGAAACTCCTCGCGATTCTACGGGCACCTGGCGCGTAAAAAGGAATCGCACCGCGAAAAGAATCACCGTCGATCAAGAGTTACCGCGTCAGGAACCGCGCGATCGCGAGAGTACGAATTCGAAGATTTAGCAACGCTAGCATTGACAGAGAGGCCGCTCCTCTCTCTCCGAAATTACCTTGTCTCCCACGTTGGATCGCCGCGTTAGGGCAATCGTGTACCTTAAAAGATAACGGGAATAAAAAAACCCGATCACGCCTGAGAAAAAGACCTTCCCACCCCGCCCCCTCCTGACCTAAATTAATCTCTAAAAATAAAAATTAACTTCTATTTCCTACGCTTCTCTCTCAATATGTCTCTCCTTTGCAGATAGGTAATCTGACCTAATTTCCGTGATTTCTTTGCCTCGCAATAACGAAAAATTAAAGGAGGGAAATGAGATGTTTTCGTTGAATTGCATAAACTTTATTTCCTATATAGAGTTTGCAATCGAATTAATATCGTTATCGCATCGAAAACTATTCTATATATAAAAACTATTCTATATTATATTCCGATTCGCCAAAAGAAATCGCCCGACCGGGAAGGATACCGACGGCCCGGCAGACGATGCGCACGATTTCCGGCTCAGCCATCTGGGACGACCGGCATCCGGCTGCATCTGCTGCTCAGTGTGCAGCTGTCGCCGCACATTAGCAGATGCAGGAAAGCAAGCTCACAGCTGGCTTCGCCCTCGTCGTCTCGGCGAGAGACTTGCGTTGCCAACCGACCTAAATAGCCGACAGAAATTTCTTTCTTCACGGGAAAACGGAAGAAATTCGCCCGAAACTATATTCCGAATTTTCATTAGATTCGTCTAGCAAAAATATCGCTCAGTATGTATACACGTACGCCTAATAAAGTCACTATATTATGATCGTTATCGGCCTCGTTACTCGTTGCCATAGTTATAATTGGCAAAACAATATCGCTCGCTATTGTCCCCGCTGAAGAAACTATATACCGAAGTCTTTTCGTTGGCGATTTTATCGTTACGTAATGCATGTAATCGCCTTGATACGATTCAACGCGCCTATACACCGAGAGTTCGCGATAAATCTAGGTCATCGGCAAACCACGACGGACGGTTTCATTTTATTTTCTTATTATAGTCTTATCTTCGCCAACCGTTCCGTTCTCGTTGAGTCGCTAAACAACGAAGAAACTATCTCCTGCTAATCTCAATTTTTCAGTCGTCGGCTCGCGATAAGCGTGACGGTCAAATCATATTAATATGTATTTATATATATTAAATTATACGTGCAATATACACGCAAATATGTGTAATATAATTGTATATTTACCGGGGAATTTCCTAAAAAGTATGACCTTGATTTTATTGCAAGTTTCCATTCAACGCAAAATCTATCGTGAAATGATAAAAAGCGATTTTTCCCGAATCGTCGCGACTGCGAGTTTCGAAAGACCGACCGCCAATGAACTTCGCGTTCCTCTCGCTCGCTTACTCGCTTCGCAGTCTTCTCTCTTTTTCGAGAGAAATCCTCCCCTACCACGCGCGTTCGTTCTAAGCTTTCATAAGACTCCAAGGTCAGCGAGTGAGAACGCCTCGACCATAGCAGTGAATATACATGCCTATTATACTATACAAACAAGCTACATTTCCTACATTCGCCATGAGCGGTTCTCGGATCGCAAGAAGTCTCGCGATGAAACTCGATTTGAAGAAAAAAAAAAAAACACGCTCGGTTCTCGGATAACTGAATCCGTCTTGCGTCCGTCCAAGCAATTGAATGTAAATAGCGGGTCATCTAATGATTAGATGACTATCACAAAGCATGAAAAATTGAAAAGGGAAACAATAATTCAGAAGATTAGATTGAATTCAGTCTCGCAGTAAGCGGGGCAGAGATTTACGTAACCCGAAGAGCTTTAGCGTCGACCTTGCTGGAAGTAACTCCCCGCATATTATCGAAAATCACACGCAATAGTGTGTCATCGCTAAGGTATATTGAGAAAAAATATTCTAACGACGCACGTAATGGGCACACCGTTTACAAAATCGTGCGATGACGTAGAGTAAAGCTGCGTTAAGTGGGACGGTTACTTCGAGTCGTGCCGAGAGTCAGCGTAAAACGATCGTCGTTGAAGGTGATCAACGTCACCTGTAGTACATAACAGTAGTGTCAAATTTCTCGAAAGGTACAAAGCGCCAAGGCGAAGAGATACTGGCTCTCACATTCACCCGATCGCGCAAGTCCCGTTATATGTTCCTGCCCACCGGGAAGCTCTCACGTTGCTTCGATTTCCCATAGCAACAGGGAAACATCGACGCTACCGGATATACGTGCCGAAAAATTTCCTTTCCGTTATTTAATCGCTGAGCCGCGGACTTCCGGTCCTACCGCGAACGGATTCCGAGAATGTAAAATTCCGAGTTAGTTTCATGTGTTTCCGTATAAAAAAAAACAAGTACACGTCGTATATATATATCGCCTTCGTTTCATATAAAGATAATCGCCTATCGAAATTCCTATTGTCAGATTTATCACGCAATGCGTTGTTCAACTTCGTAGAAACTCATGAACGTGAACGAAACGAATCGGTTTCGAAGACGGAGAGACTATACGAGAGAGACATACTTGTTCAGGCCTACCTACTGATCTTTACACCTACACGTTTCGGTGACGCGCGCGATTCCGTTTGCAACTATCTTTAGCAGTCCTTGCTAACTTTAACTATCAATGGCACGGCGTTTGACTATTAAAAATATCTCGTTGCACATCTAACAAAGGATCGACGAGTTTAAAAGAAAAATCGATAATCCCCCCTTTTCGCTTTATTAACCGAGATAATATAGTAAAGGATTCTATAATCTCTCGATTCTTGAATCACCACCTAAGCTTGGCTATTTTTCTCTACAGCTGTTTCAACGATATAAATATCGTTTGCATAAAATAGAAAATTTCGCGATCGGAGGGGGGTTACTACTGTAATTTACTGCTAACTACACTGTTAACGTGATTTCGCGGGTAACTATCGAGGATAAGATATAACTAGCTACAATCGCCCTTCGTACTTTTTTTCTTTCACGCGCGAAGTTAACACGAGATATTGGAGTCTCGTGTTCTCCCGTGGTCGGTTGCGGGCTGTCCTCCTCGCGCTGTCTTTCGGAGGAGAGAGAGGCCGCAGCGTCGCGCGTTGCGAGGCTAACGAAGACGAGACGACGATCAGGATCGAGTATAGTAAAAAAAAAAAAAGCCGATTATAGGAAACCGATTGCGGTTTGACGCGATGGAAAGAAAACAAAAACAGGCGCGCGCGCGCGCGCGGACGCGCGTGTGCGGCTCGTCTTACGTCAAGTCTCGCGTGTCGCGGCGCTACGCTAAGAAAAGGAAAAAGATAGAAAGAGATACACAAAGAACTTAAGAATTTAACGGAAAGCTCTACATGCTCCGATAGAAAATAAAAAGCTCTTTCAGAGACCGTGCTACACTTGAACGCACCGGAATCTAGGTTGAACCACGTTATCGACAACGAAAGAAAAAAGAAGCTCCGTCCCGCCTGCGCAATAGGCACATAATAATTACGCGCGCGTGTGTGTGTACACGTCATCCGAAACTTTTTCTTTATCAACGTACTCGCGCTTGTGAATGGGCTATTGTCGGTCTTGTCATATTTACAGAAAAAGATGCATATCATCGTTTCTATTTCGAAATTTTCCACGAGCCCATTCAAACGCAAGTACGCGCTGTTTTCTATTCCACTCATAAATTTGCTTGAAATTTGCATTTTAACAGTCCGTGGAAACGACTATCTCGCGAAATGTTCACATAAGGAAGCGCGCGGAAGCTCTAGCGATTTTAAGCCAATTGTGCGAGTGTCTATTGTTACGGAGGGCCGGAGGCAGATGGAAAATGATGAGAATGAGCCTACCTTGCGAGTCGCGATGTGCGGCCTGTGCGGCCTCCTGAGCTGCTAGAAAAACCTCATCCGTCGTCCCGGGAGCTCCTGCCACAGAGCCCACAACACCCCCCGCATTACTTCGGTCACCGGTAACATGCCATGAGCCAAGACCTGCTAAAATAAACCGATCGTCCGATAAATCTCAATGTGACGTTAGACACGTTCACACGTTGCACGACATACGATGTTGAATGTTATGTTAATAAAAAAAAATTCATAGAAATCAGGACGAGATCTACGAGCGAAGGGGTATCGCTATAAAACCGAAAGCTACTTCGGCACATCTCGAATTAAATATTTAAATTGAAATTAATATTAACTTGTTAGAAATCCTTATTTAAAAATATCAAATGATTTACAATATTGACACGTCAAGTAGTAATAAAAACATCGATCTAGGAATGAAGAGGATACTTTATTCATAAACTCTTTTAAAGGGGAACAAAAATATTGGTTCACATATGTTAAGACCGACCAAGAGATTACGCAGCGAAACACAGGGCTTCACACGATCGGAAAATGTCGCACGTTTCCCTTATACAGCGGGAGTGCTTAAAATACATTTATATTATACATTATGTCCCTAATCATCCCTCTATATTCGTTACAGTAAGTAATATTTGGCAAGTTACGCGAAATACCATAACACATCCGCCCCGCAGATCGTCATGCTCACACACATTTGCATACAGAAGTCACAAATTTTTTTTTTTAATAATTTGGCTTAAGTAGTCTACACGTAACACTTAAGAAATAGACAAATAATACTGATATTCAGACTATTTAAAGATCAAATACTTTGTACATCGACTCGCCGTACTTCGAACTCGTAGGTGCGTATCATAGAATTATCGTTAAATTTGACTAGCTCGGAAGTGATTCTTGTCGGAATTTCGATTCCCGAATAAATTTAATCGTCAAAGTGCAAACGAAAAAAAATTTCTTTCAAGCAATGTGCATATTATAAGAAATCATATTCGAGTTCTTCAAAGTGAACGATCTCTCAAGAACAAGAATTCGAATCAGTCTAGATTTTTCAAACTATATATATATATATAAATATATATATAGCGATTGTTAATATTTTAACGACTGTCGTCGGTTGGACTCGACGTTAAAAGAACGGTGCATGGGACGCTACAATATTCGCGCGCTTTCACGTGCGCACACTAGGTCCGCCTAGGCTGGACCGGGGTGAAGATTGGACTAGAAGGTTGGTGTTTCCATCTCCTCCTGACGACGTTCAATTTTTTCAAATAGAACTGCAACGTTGAGCGATTAATGCCGTACATCTCGGACGCCTGAGTGGTGCTAACCCCCTGTTGCAATATTGCCTCCAGGGACATTTTAACCGAGTCTAAGCTATACTTTCTGCCCTGCTTGTTCGCCAGTGATTTAAGCAACGCGGCTACGTCGGCGTCCGGGCGCGGCCGTCTCATGTTTGGCACTTTATTACATTCGAGGAAATGGGAAGCCCATGGGGCACCACCATCGCCACCATTACCACGACCGCCATCGTCACCACTACTCAAATTCCCTCTCGACCGAGACCGCGCTCCCGCCCCCCCACCTGCAACGAGGAAACCCAGGCTAGTGTCGGCCAATTTGTTACACGTCCCGTGTTTCAACAGATAACAAACAAAAACAACGAAAAACGACTTCGCGACACCAAAACTATTGATTTCGCTCAACGCACAAGCCCTTCCTATTTAACGATCAAGTGAGTGAACTTTTTTTTTTTTTTTTGATTGACCGCGATCCGACAATACCGCGACTCCCGTTCAAGAATCACTATCCAATCGTACAAGACGTCAAGCTCCGCTTCGATCCAAATCAAGCTTTTTTGGATCGAAGATTCGCTACTGTCGTTGACTCTTTCCAGAGCATATATAATTTTATGCAAAAAAATGCAATAATTCGCTATACTCTTCACATTCTTACATGCGGAACGCTGCTTAGCGAGTTGATGCGCAAGTTTAAATGCATAACATTACAATTTGCATTGCCTTTAAATGAGAAATAAACCCTGCGTTTCGCTGCGATAAAATCAAAAGTTGTAAATGACAAATAACATTGCAACTTACCGGGGTGTTGGGCGGGGTCATGGGACGGTCCAGCTCGATTGTTGTCCTGTTCCATGTCATTAAGATCGTTCATATCTTCATCCAGCGTCAGGTCTTCAACGCCTTCCTCAGCATCGTCTAGGTATTCAGACTTTGGCTCGATGAGGTTATCGTTTGGCTCGGGTTTTTCAAGTGGCAGCTGTAAAATGTTAAAATGTATTAGAATAGACATATATATACACATACAAAAAGTATTATCTATGGAAAAGAACATAATCCTCAAAGGAGAAAATTGTCTCGAACAGTTTCCACACTGCAGCGGCAAGAAAAAGATAGAACCAAAGCAGTAGGATAAAGAACGATCTTTCTTTACCAACGAAGCGAAAGAAACAGCGCTATTGGCGACAGCCTCCACTTAAACCGTTGGCACACGAAAAAAAAAAACGGAAGGAATTCGTCGAACAACATTTTACCTGTAACATCTCGTCGGCGGGTTTCGTCAACTGCGTCATTAAAGCTGACCTGCCGAGAGAGTCCGTTGGATCTGAATGTACTTTCTCGTCTGCCACTGGCGCGATACCAAGCGCCGGTACACCCATTTGCTGAGGCATGTCGCTGGAATTCGATGCATCCTGGTTCTCTATTATCGTATTACTATCCTCGGTGAAGCTTCTTCTCCGAGTTCGTTTCCTTTTTCTAGCTGTTGGACTTTGCGAACCTTCCCTGGAGAAAACAAAAAGAACGGCAGTTAGCAATATTCTTGAAATGAATTAACGTTCACGTCTAAGTTACAACGTAATGGAATTGTTCGCAAAATCACTCACCTCGAGGAGAGCCCTTTTGACACCTGAGGACTGACCGAATCCTCCGGTAAATCCCCCACGGAACTTTGCGCCAAACTCTGCCTAGGAACTTTGTTCTTTTCTATCGTCAGACCGGAAGACGCGTGTGGAATGTCTAACGATGGTGCTGTAGGTTGTGAGACGGCTTTCTGTGGCCTGGACTCCGTCTTACTACTGCCAGCAGTTTTACTTTCCGAAAGGCCCTTTATTTGCAGAGACTCAGCGGCTTTGAGGAGTGCTGCCAATTGGTCTTGGGAAATGTTTACTTCCCCTCTGTACATATAGTCCATCATCGCCTTAAGTTCTTTGAATTTTACATCTTTGAGTATAAACACTGGATGCTTGTCATAGTGTTCGCTGAGGAGGCACTGTAACACAAAAAGTACATAATCTTCAGACAAGCAGTCACAATATATATTTAGAGTTACAAATCTACAATTTATTTTTCTAACTCGTATCAAATTTGTAAATCATTACGTATTCCAATTTAGAAATAAGTTACTTTAATATATTTGTAACATTTGTTTTTGGTATATTATGACAGTCAAATGTGCTGAAATGAATATATAAAGGCAACAAAGTTTGAACGTTATTCGTAGAGAGTATGATATTATAAGAGAAATATTTCTTTAGTTGATATCGATTCCTCTCATGTATCTCTCATGTTACAGCTACGAATGCAAAGTGCTGTCATCTGGGACGAGCTAACATCTACGTACACGCATACACAATTCGAGCGCATTATTAATTTTCATAGAGCAGTATTCAATTATTGCAACAGCCGCTCTGCATCCCCACCCATATTAGGGTAAAATCCCAGGGCAAGTGCCCTGGAAATCAGCCATCTTGCTTTCCTTGTATTGATCAAGAGGACCTAGGAGGGGGCTTCAGGCTTTTGCTCCCCCACTCTCCCCCACCTGCACCTCCTATACTCCTGCCCAGGCAACGTTCAACAAGCACGGCCATCTTGTTTCAACTTGAGATCCCCCCCCCCCCCCCACCTATTGCTTCTCAACAATCTATCTCGCTCCCTCCCAACACGTTTCGTATTGATCTAACCCGACTGAGCCAACTGGACAAAGAGCAAGGGGAGAAGCTTTGCGGCACATAATTATAATTCGTTACGTTCATAATTATTCTTTCAATCAAAAAATCAAAATTCCTTCAATTTCAACTCGCATTTTTAATAAGTAATTGAAAATTAATATACGATAAGTAATACAATTATCAACTTTACTATTTAAATTTTCACAACCATGTCGCTACTCTCAGAAATGTGGAAAATATTATTTTATGATGTTATTAATAATAAAATAAAAGAGAATTTGCCTGATTACATCCATCAATTCCAAGGAAATATTAAGAGAATAGAATAACAATCTCTAGCTGGTAACTTGAAAACAGATAATCACTTTAGAATATCTCAAGGAAGATGGGAATAGGTTGTACGATTAAGTAATGACAACAGAACGTTATGCTCACCTCAAAGTATGGACTGCACGCGGAGAGAACAACCTTATGCGCCTTGAGAGTCTTCCCCTCCGCCGCCAGCGTGCAGTCGACCAGCGTCCCGCTTTCGAGGAGTGTGTCGAAGTTTTGTATGAGCGTACTTTGGTGGTTGTTCCACCTGAGACAGAACTGCTGGTCGTCCTCCATGGTAGTTCTGGCTTCGTTTCCTCGTTTCTGCACAGATGAGAAAACAAACGTGGATAAGTGACGGAGCCGTGCTGACGAATGTAAAAAAAAAAAAAACCCCGGATAACGTACGAAGTGCGAAACCCGCCGACGGAGCCGTCCTCCCTTTCTCGCCGTTTCTCCTCACCGCACGCTATCGATCGACCGAGCGACCCGACGCTATCTCGTCCTCCCGCGACCGATTATTATCGCGCACATCGAGCCGAACGACGTTAAGTCGTTACCCGCGAAAATACGTCTGCCGACTTTCGTTACCGATTCCCCACGTCCTCCTCTCCTCTATCCTCGCGCTCTCTTTCTCCTCCTTTTCGTTCGCGGCCCTCGCGGGAGGACGACGGAGGCGAAAGCTCCGCAACGAAGCGCCGAAGCTTCCAAAATGGCCGTGTGAGCGATGCGTCGGCCGGATCGCTCGTCTGGTCTTTTCCTTTGTGCGTGTCTGGTAACGGTAATGGACTGCCCTGGTGGGGATGATGCAGGAGGACGCGCAAGCACCGCGCACGCGCAATCGCGACGTCCGGGCTGCGCGCACCGCTTGCGCAACAGCCACGGAGGCCCCTGGGACTCAGGGGCGGCTGCCGCGGGTACCGCTGCCGCTCAACCTCCTCTCGAAATTTTTTTTCATCAAGACCAAATTCCGTACAATCATTTTTAATGCGACGCGAAATCGTAGACACCGGACATCGAATGAAATGTTACGCGATTAATGATTACCAACGCAGTTCGACAAAAGAAAAAAATATAAAAAAAAAATGATAAATGCCACGCACGGGAGAAAAGAAACGAGGAAATGTTGAAGCAATCGCGCGTACCTGAAGGTGAGGCGACGTCACGACGATACACTAAATCTCGGGGGACTTGGCTCACTACAAGTGGCCGATTGCGCGATTCCCGAACGATCCGCGTATTTTCATCGTGACGTTTCCAAACGTCGCGTCACCGACCAGAGACGCGACGAGCGAGCGAGAAACCGGGGGACTGGTCTAACCCGATTTACGTCAGCGCGATTTACATTAGCGGCGCGCAATAAATACGGAAAATCGATCACGCGGCTCGGCGACCGACGTCGTGGGTGGGGAACGCGGGAGGGTGAGGAGGTTTCACCGGACACGCAGTAGGAAAACTAGGAGAGCGAGGTACGCAGTCGCGAGGTGCCTGTGCGAGGACAGATAGGAAGAGAAAAAAAGGAGCGAGAGAGACGGAAGGTCTCTCCCTCTCGTCCCTCTGCCTGCGTGCCACGATTGCGTAATCTATTTATATTGTTATCTCGCGCGCGAGAGCGCCGTTACGTCAGGCGATGCCGAGCGTGTGTATGTGTGCATGCGAGCACGAAACAAAAACAAATTGTTGACAGATAATTTTTCCCGATCGCGTACAGAGCGCGCGCGCGCGCGCGCACTCGTTGAGATAGAGAGACGTGAGAAAAAAGCGATAGAGGGGAGGGGTAAAGCAGAGGAACCGTCTTTTCTTGCGCGGCGACGCGAGCCGCCGCCGCCGCCTCCTCCCCGCGGAGGCAGGAAACCGCGAGAGAGTCGGGAGAGCGGAGACGTGGAACGCAATATGGCGGTTGGCGAGGTCGGGCCCGGGACAAAATGGCGGCGGGTGGAAAGCTCGCGGGCGGAAAACCACGGCCCGATCGATTCGCCGCCGCCGCACCGCACCGCTCCGCGCGCGCACCGCTCACGGAACCGCGCCGCGCCGACCGAATTCCTCGCGCGCGATCTCCTCGTTGCGTCGCGTCTGGACAATGGCACTGGAAATCGCAAACGCTAACGCCACGGTATTTATTTCATTACACGCCGGGGGAAATATTCGCCGCTTCTCGCGACACGACCTCGCCGTGAGACTCGCGCGGCGGACGAGCGAACGACGCCGACAGCGGAGCGCGACGCCGACGCGCGTTATCTCGTCGCGGCTACAAAAAACCACTCGCCATATCTCGACGCCGAGAGAGAGAGAGAGAGAGAGAGGGACAGAGAAAAGAGAGACCCGCCCGCCGCGCCATGTCACCCGCAAATATTCGGCGCGATTCCCCGTCGTCGGAGAGACGCGTCCCGCGCGATTAACCGCGCGCCCGCGGATTACCGTACGTACGACGTTTTGCTCACTCACCTAATAAGGGAGATATAAAACAATCTAATATCACAGCAATCAAGTCGGTGAAAAGTGTAAAACAGCGTTGGAGCGTCCAGGCCCGGCGTCCGCCTCGTGCGCTGCCCTTTTCAACAATGGCGTTAGCTCCAACGCCTTCTCGGCTCGGCGCCGCGGACCGCCGTTGGAGGGCGCAGGCGTCCGGCGAGGCCCGCGTCCCGAGAGCGGAACGCGTCTCCCGGTGCGAGCAAGAAGGAAAAACAGGAAAACGGCGCGCATGCGCGCCGCACGGAAATTCACTACTGCGACGTGATTGAGAATAGCACTGACGCTGGCGAGGCCGAATTACGGATCGGCGTCAAGATGGTCGCGACTTTGATTCCTCGGCGGCCTGCCGAAACGCGTCCCGACACGCAATCCCGATAGGAGAGAGAGAAATCCACGATTTCCCGCGCCCTTCCTTGCGACAACGAGGATCCTTCCCGGTTGAACACCGCGAACACGTTCCGAAAAGTCATCGAAAAGAAATAGGACCTTTTGTCGCAACGACCGCGCGTATCGATTTCCAATCCCGTGTCTTATCGTGGCCACGAATTTTCCTCGTATCGACTCCACCTTGATCGAAAACGTTACGATTTGAGAAATTCGAAACAATCTCAAGGGAATTCATCGGATCGATACGACTCGGAATTCGTCGCATCGCCCTCTCATTTCCGTATCGTATTTGCGCTCGTATTTTAATTTGTATTTCCAATGCAAGTAAAAAGAAGTTTGTAAAAAATTGAGAATTGTAAACAAAAAGACACAATATCCGATCATATTTCAAGCGACTGCTGATATATGCTAATTACTCCAACACACATACTGATATTTGTAAGTAAACACAAATAGAGATTCAACATACGAACTGTTTAGCTCAAGATCTTTTTGAAAATGTCCTCACTTTTGGAATTAATAATTTCTCCGAAATAAATACAGAGATAAAGCCACAGGAATTCTTGCGTAGGTCATGTAATTGATTTACGTGCGTTTTTTTTTATTGAGCTGCTGTTATTTGTACACATCTATTACACATCTTTTACAAATAAACCAATCGACTTCTATTCTTATCGGAAAATCACGATATCAATAGAAAAATATTGTGTACTAAATAACGCAGTAAATTAGTTTCACACTACGGTTCTATAAATACTTAAGTCTTCAGTTAAACGGTATCGTTGCATCATCATTACAAATAAAAAAACGCACGTAAATCAATTACATGACCTACGCAAGAATTCCTCTGACTTTATCTCTGTATTTATTTCAGAGAAATTATTAATTCCAAAAGTGAGGACATTTTCAAAAAGATCTTGAGCTAAACAGTTCACATGTTGAATCTCTATTTATTTACAAATATCAATATGTGTGTTGGCGTAATTAGCATATAAAAATGCCGCCTGAAAGAATTAAAAATACATCGCATTCCGCATGACTGCACGTCAATCGACACAGAGAGAGAGAGAGGGAGAGAGAGAGACGTCGTTCAACGTTCATTATTCCTCGCCCGTTGTTACCGCACCAGCTCGATTCTCACCGTTACGTTCCGCGACGGCCTCTCCACCGTCGTTGTTTATTTTATTACGCATTTAATCTGAAGGGTAAATAAAGCCGTGACGAGAGGGATTCGATCGTATAAATTCCGGGCGTTGACTGGAATGCCAATAAAAGCCGTTTAATTGCTGTAATAAAGCAGGCAGAAACCGCTAAAGCGTTTACCGGGACGACGACTGCCGCGTCTCCTTTTGTTTCGAGAGCTCGTCGTTACGTCTTCCTTTACGTAATTCCCTCACGGGGGACCGAGTCCTTCGACCTGTGTGCTTATCGCGAGCCGATAATCAAAGCAAACAGATCCGCGAGAAGCGTCGCGTGAGAGAAGCGTCTCTTCGATCTGGGTGCGCGTCTTTTAACGAGAGTCGAATCGACGAGCGAGAAAATCTCGGCCAGAACGACCCTCTCTTCCTCGTCGCGTGGCAATCGCCGCGCCTGAAAATTTCAGCGTCGAACGTCATGGCGGACGTCTCGCCGCTTTTCTCAGTCCCGGCGCGCCGCTACCAACAGTCATGGCCGACGCTTTCCCGAACCTCTCATAACGCGACCTCGATTACCATTCTATATTTAGCGATCGTCGAAACCGTCGTAGATACCCCGCGGTGCGCACGCGAGACGCGGAGACAGATAACGGCACGTAATAACGCCGATAAACGCGAAAAACGCGACGCGACGCGACGCGTTAATTGCGCCAGACGACAAGGACTTTGCGATTACGTAATTAAAATTTAAAAAAATTAGTCTCCTTTGCCGCCGTTAATTAAACGTGGAACGGAAAATTGGAATTTGCGAACAATCGCCGCTCGCGTTACGCGCTTATCCCTCGGCGTCGTGAAGGAGCGCCGAAATGCACGACGTGTAAAAGACGACGCAACGTGTACGTACGTACACACATCATACACATGTAATTCGTCTCGATTTACCGCGCGGTGTTTTAACCGGGTGCGACGCAAGACGCGCCGCGCGCGCACAGGTCAGGATCGCGGATGCAAATTCGCGAGCGGCCGCGAGCAGCAGCTCGAGGACGCGGAGACGCCCGCCGGCGTCGTGTCGCGTCGACGGAATCGCGAGTGGCTTCGCGAACGTTCTCGAAACGTGCTCGAATCGCGAATTCACGCCACTCTCGAGACATCTCGCGCGACGCGCGCTTCATTTCTATTAGACGATAACCCGTTTGAGGTGCAATAACCCCCCGGGGGTCCGGAGTTTTGCTCGCACGGTTCGCGAACAGGCGCCGGCCCTCGACGGTGTAGCCCACGTGCGTCGACCCGGACAAAACCCGGCGGAGAATTTCCCACCGGAGTATCCCGCTGTCGCGAGCAACGTCACGGGAACCGAACGCGCGTAATGGCCGACCTCGTTCGTTCGCGGGCGAGACAAAATGGCGAAAAACCCACGAAAAAGCACACGGTGGAAAAGCCCGCTCGCGAGATTGAAATTCCGAGCAGATTTCGCGCGCGCGCGCGGGACGAGAAACGCGTCGGATTTTCCGCGCCGGACGAGTAAGCGTGAGCACGCGGCGACGCGACATGGCGGAGCGCGCGACCTGATTTTCCGCGAGAACTTTCCACCGCTCCTCGCGGGAGGAGAGCGCGCGCGAGCGAGGCGAGAGAAACGCGACGATATAACGGACAGGTAGACAAAAAAGTGGATGATTTTTCGACTCACCTATGTATTGGCACAGTCTAAATATCACAAGAGGACGAAACTCGGAGGGGAAAACTACGCGTCCACTCCTCAGCGTGCACTATCCGAGCGTCATGGGTCCTTTTTACACAATGGCCGTGCCGCGATACGCGCCTACGATCGATCAGTTTCTGCGGGAGGACAACGCCGGAGCGCGCACGGAAACGGAGCACGAAGCTCGCCTCCCACCCCCCTGCTCCGCCTGCCGGTCGCAACGCTCCCAGACGCGGCGCAGAACGCGCGAATTCGACTTCTGCGCATCGGCACGGGACGACGGGCGGCGGGGACGAAAGAGAACGGGCCCAGGAGCGTCGCGCGAGCGTCACGGGCGCTGGTGACGTGACCGCGTTTCCTCGGCCGCGACTGCGACGATAAGGAAACAAATACTGGGACGGTAGCGTCTCTTAGAAAGAGAGCGGAACAAATGTTCTGAATAATAAACAACAAGCGGCAGCCGGAGACATTTTTATATAACTTAAATGTCACATTTTTTTTAACTGCTTATTGGTTTAACCCAGAGAGATCATTATATTACATTACAGTCTAAAAATGTTCTCTTTACATAAAAAGTACAGCGAGACTATGAAAATCTTAATTGGTTGTGCTACTTTGCACTCTTGAATTAATTTACTACGTGAAATCTCGCTTATGTCGCTAAATTGAAATGAAATTTATAGTGATTAAAATATGATTCAATATTTGGGATAAAAGTGACTTGCTCGCTGTGTATCGTTATGTGTATGATTATCGTCATGAGACGATAATCCCTCATTTGATTCAACAATTTTTTTTATTAATTAACAGAATTAACTTATACGAGAACTAATTTATAAGTCACAAAGTTAGATTGTGTTCATGAAAGAGAGATCGAGCCTGCTTGACGTATGTTTTCAACACGTTAATTGTCCAACGAGTTTTCTCCTGTGCGCGTAAAATTTTAATTTCTGTTAAACATACAACGATAAAAGATATCGTATCATATGATAACTCTCTCTGTCTACGGATAGCGTGTTGAATTTACACACTTTTTACCTACACTTTCCTTTGCCCTTTAGTAGTTATTTATCATTATGTTTATTTAAAACTTTAACGTTGGACAACATTTATTTTTTGCAGGCGTTTTAAAAGAAGCGCCAGTCACCGGTGGCCAGAAGGGTGCCACTGAAAAGTCAAACACGGATGTCACGGATTACCGCCGCCGGCAGTGTCTGCGTCAACGGTGCTAAAAGTGGTGCCCTCTGCCGCTCACGGATACCTGCGCGCGCTCTCGACGCTAACGTCACGCCGGTTGGGAGCGGGGGGAATCGGCGCGGACGGCGCGACGCACGGGTAGTGGGGTTGGCACCGGGCAGGCGGGTAGGTGGGGATAAACAGCCGGGTTTCCGTTCTAGGGCACGTTCGTGGCAACGGCGTAGCGCGGCCGGCGCGCGGCGCGGCGGCGGGAGAGGCGAAAGGCGGCGCGCGGGAGAAGTGGAAAGCCGGGAAGAGAGAGCCGACGAAGGGAAGAATCGGGGTCCACAACAAAATCGCTTAATCGCTTTGCGCCACCGTCCGCGACGGAGCACGGCCCATCCGCCGCCACCGCCGCCGCCGCCATCGCAGTGCCCCCTAGTGTGCATGCATGCCCGACATTGTCTCTCTCTCGCGCTCTCTCTCTTTCTCTTTCTCTCTGTCTCTCTCTCTCTCTCTCCCACCCTCTTTCTCCTTTCCCCTTTCTCCTCCCCCTTTCTCCTTCTCGCCGACTCGCTGCGCCTCCGATCTCCGTCTTTCTCTCCTTCTCCCTCTCCCTTTCCCTCTCCCTTCCTTGCCTTCTCCCGGTCTCTCTCTCCCGCTGTCTCTCTGTCTCTCCCCGTGATTCGCTATGCCACTTCGGGCCGCGACGTTTTCACGGGCAATCCGTGAGTGACAGCTGCCAGTGGCCAACGCGGTGCGTGGTGCGTGTCTCTCGCGGCAGTTTGACACGGCCGTCACCGGCTGTGCAGCGTGGGTGACAGTTTACGCGCGCGCGTCCGTTCGTAAACGTGCGTGCCGTGCGTGCCGGCGAGGAACCGCGGTTAAGCACGTCCGAGGTATCGTTCCCGTTTTTCGCGCCCTCGCGGCGCGGTGTTGTTTATCATCTGGTATCATACGGCGAAAGTGTGTGTACATCAACAACCCCCGGGGGACCTCGGAGCGGCGCGCGGGGTTTCAGCGATTTACCGCGACGAGCCCGGATCGCCTGGTTTGCTACTGCCGCTGCTACTTACAACCGCTGGCCGCTGCTGACTGCTACTGCCGCTGCGATTTGATTTGTGGGTCAGGTCATGGTGAGGTACGTAACTGTCACGATCGTGAGATTCTCCGGCGGAGACGATGTCGTCGACGAAGAAGAGATTTCGTTCACGTACATACCCGTGTTCTTTCTCGACGATAATTTCCGTCGCGCTCCTTCGCATCCTCATTACGTATTCTGTTCTTAATCCTCGACGACTCGTCTTCGTCTCGTCGACGTGAGCCTCGCGGACGCGAGTTTTCATTTTTTTTTTCTTTTTTTTTTTTCGAGATACGTTCACCGCGACGCTGCGAAATTTGTTTTTTTTTTTCACGCCGCTGAAAGCGGTACATTCTCGCGTCGTTCCACCAACGAGCGTGTCTCGAGGCGTACGTCTTTTTTTCTTTACCTTTCTGTTTTTCTTCCTTTTGATTATCAATGAGAGGCCACGTGCTCCCCGGACAAGTGCGCCAGTCAATGAGCCAATTGCGAAACGCGAACGGACGACAATACCGCGCGTCGCGCCTTTGTGCGCGAAATTACGTGCTCCATCGGCGTTTACGAATGTTCGATTATTAGAGTTTCACACTTGTCAGTGAATCTCGACTTGTCGGGGTTCAATGTGTAAACGAGTCTATTGTCGCTGCAAACGAATTTCTCGATGACCCCAAATTTATCCCAAAATCAATAAGACCGATTAGATTTATTCCATTTCAGCTTTATCGTTAGACGCGACTTGCACGAAAGTCATAGTTTCACAAAACAACTTTTATAGCTTTCGAAAGGAATTACGTGAAGTTTCATACGCGATCCCTCAAAGAAATCTAAGACAGTCTTGAAGGTAGAATCATTCATAATTATCTCGGGACAGACTGATTTACTTTACAGGGGTATTGTTTACGTTGTAACGCGCGCATCAGTGCACGATTAAATCGCGTAAGAAACAATATAAAAGTAAAGCGACGTTTCTTCGCGACCGCGCATTGTTTTGACTCCGCTGTAACGACTGGACCGTGCGTGCGTGCGTGCGTACGTGCGTGCGTGTGCGATACGACCGGTGACACAATGCGCTCGACGCTTTAAAAGCGACCTGTCGCACAAGCGGCGCCGATTAGTGGGTCCATTTTTCTATCGACGTAGGGATTAACTTCAATCTCGGTTTAACTTTTTATCCTTTTCTAACATTGTAAGTTCTAAGAATTAAAAGAAAAAAATATATTAGGAAATTTAACGGAGATTTAATCTTCGAGATAAAAGAGAGCGAATTTCTCCCGGAATCGACGCGCGCGCGCGCGCGCGTTCCTCGCGGCCACGCGGTTTTTGGCCGCTCGAAACCGCCGTGTCACCCGTTACGGTAGGTCACGTGCGCGATGCACCGGCCAATAATCGGCGATTATACGAGCGCGCGGGATGCATTCGGATGGGACGGCTGCGGCTGCACCGCGCCGCGACACCGCCGCGGGAGAAGTTTATCCGACATTCGGGAACACGTTTGTTCCCCCGTGGCGAGTCCGCAGAGAAATTGCGCCGGATTCTGCCGGAAGAGCCGCCTGAGAAACTCTTGCATCTTGTCTCGCACAGATAAAACACTACATTATCCCGCGCGCGATGTGGATTTCGAGGACAGCTATATATAGGTAATGGCTGAGAGTCGAAAGATTCGCTACTGTTTTTCGCGAGAATCGTATGTGTGTTTATGCAATTGAAACGATTTGATTAAACATCTGCAGAGGATCTGATTAGCGACATTCGTGCTGAATTCTTTCTTACAGCAATGCGAAACGCGACGCGGTAGGTAAACGACGTTATTTTAATTTAATTTAGTTGCGTCCGTGTGGAATTGTGTGCTGTTATTATTTCTCCGTTTTACGTAATACAGATAGGTATACACGTGTATGACGTGACTTGAATTAAAATGAAATAAAATAAATTAATGTTAATTATATTAAATTAATATAAATTTTGATGGAAATTTATGGACTCGCTATGTCCTCAGCATCAATTGTACTAGATATGATTTAACTATAGAATCTAACAGAATCTCTTCGTCCTTGTTAATACGGTAGACTGACTTCGACTGGCACAACTACGTCCGTGAGATATCGAAAACATCGATTCCCGCAGTACGGATCAATAGTGGCGTTTCCCCGTCCGGTTATTAGCACACTTCTCAATCCCTCTTTCGCGCGTCTCACCCCCGGAGTATCGGAGCGTTGATCGTCGGACGATCGTTATATGTCTCGCTGTCAACAATAATCGCGGGCGCTCCCCCCCCCCCCCGTGTAAGTTGCATCGCGTGTCGATCGCCGTGCGTGACACGACCGACGAAAGGCTTCGGAGGAGCGCTCGTTTCATCGTTGGTATACGCGCGCGTGCGTGCGTGCGTGCGTGCGGTATAAACGGGTTTATCGCGGTAATTAAATGACCGTCAAATAGGAGAAAATCGCCGATGATTGATGGTGACCGATCGGCGAAGTTTCGTAGTTGCGTTATATACCACGTGCGCCCTCTCGTTTCCCCTCTCCCCCCTTTGTCTCCTCCTCCCGATACGTTAATAAATTCGTCACGGTCGCTCGGGCGAGAGCTTTAGAACAGGTACTTAGACCTCTCCCCCCCCCCCTCCCATTTGCAACTGTACGTGCTTTCCTTTTAACTTCTCCCCTGACCTATGATCGAAAACTGTCGTCGTCTCTTAAGTACGAAGTACTCGGAAAACTTCGACGTTGCGTGATATTTTCGTGCTTAACGAGAGATTCGCGAGGTGAGCGTTTATTCAATGGGGAATGACGCGAGAGCGCGGTCAATGAATTCGATTTCGAAACCGTCGTCTCATTTTGACATGGTAACATCATGCTCTCGTGTGCGTAGAAACGCTACTGAATACGCATAACTGAAACCGCGCGCTGAAATTGGCTAATGGGAAACGCAAGTGCATCGGAGCGGCGCGGTGTATATTCTTTTGAATCCTCTCCGCGCGAGACGGTCCTCCACACACGGCTCCTCCGCGATAATATAGTATAAGGAGAGCTCGCGGGATCTCTTCGATCTGCGTGCGAACGCAAGCGTGAAGCGGCTCGTAATCGGCTCGATTAAGGATCGCGAGTTAAACGATGTGCACGATCTTTCCGTCCCACGACGAATGGCTCGTGCATCCCGCGAAAGATTTTCTCCTCGCGCAACTCGGGCCAACGGTCCGCCTATGTATATATGTGTGTACATCGCGCGCGCTCGCTCGCGCACCGCCGATGATAAAGAGAAATGCTGCCTAGAAAGCAGGTCTTGGCTGAATCTAGGCCACCCTGATGATGGCGCGTGCACATTCTCCACAATTTTACTGTTCCTTCTCTCAGCCTTGCCTCGCGTTCGTTCCACGCCGCGCGAGAACAGCACCTTTTCTCTCTCTTTCTCTCTCTCTCTCTCTCTCTTCTTCCTCTCTCTCTCTGTCTCTCTTCATCTATCTCTGTCTATCTATCTGCGTATAATCTAGCTTCAGCTTCTCCCCTCTCGTCCTTCGCTCTTTCTATCCCTCTGCCTTTCTCCTCAGCCTCTCTCCGCGTACGTCTCTCTTCTCTTCCATCGATCGCCTCCTTCTCTCTTCCTGCCCCTTTTTTTTCCCCACCCGACACGATTCAAGGATTCGAGTTCCGGAGGACGACCAGATGCGAATCGGCGAAAAAAAGAGAGGGAACGCGAGGATCGCGGTACCGTAATGCTCCGCGCGCGAGCGCGCTCGCGACGAGATTTACAAATTGCAAAAGCGAGAACGAGTCTCGCTGCGCGCAGGCTGCTGTCTCAATAGCACGCTGCTTCGTAACTTCGTTTGTGAAATGTCGCGATGGGGCGACGAGTGGGTGTATTACAGGACGATGTTTGACTTTGCTATACGCAACGTAAGAATCTCTTACGCTGCCGCGAAATAACAGGGAAGGTTTTCCCCGGTTCGCGATCAAGGGAGACGCGAATGATCACTTCGCTCCATCCGTTCAAACTTTCAGCTTAAATGCAGCCGCAGTCAGTTTCTTCGAGAAATTGTTTGGTTAACGTAAATTTTGCACGGCAACAGGAACGGGAAAGATCCCTTACATTTGAATACAGCAGTCTTTTTTTTATAAATAAATAAAATAAATAAGAAGAATATTATCGTCGCGCGCGACATGTGCAGACGAATTCGATATTCTTCTTTTTCTTCTCTCTCTCTCTCTCTCTCTCTGTCTTTTTTTTTCCTCATATTTTTTATCCGTCCGTTTCTTTTCTCCTTCGCTGTCGTCCTCCTTTCTTCTCTTCTTCTTGGCCTTCGGACCCCTCGCGAGAATCTGCGCAGTTTTCGTCACTATCCAATTTAAAATACGACCGTTCGCGCATGAGCATAATTGAATCAGAGGTGCTTCTACATTCCGATCGCTATATGCCATCGGAGCGGCGATGGACAACTTACCGTTCCTCTCGCGCGTTTTCGTTTCAAAATTTAGCGTGTGCCACCACCGGCACACGGCCGTCGAGACACCGTCGAGCCATCGGCATCGAGCGAAACGACGACGTGCGGCGGCGAGCGTTTTCTCGAGAGCGGGATCTCGCGTGTGTATGACTGACAGTGGGGCGATCGAGAGCGACCTAGAAAGGTTTCAAAAGACATTTTCCCGTTCACCCACGTACAAAGCCGCCCTCTCGCCGCGGGAGCGTATAGAGCCCGTGCGACATGAAACCTCGCGTACGGACGATTGAGACGAGGCGCGCGTATACACTTGCACGCGTATATACACGTACGTACAATAGCGACGAAGAGGACGAAGGCGGTGCGGAACGATGAGGAGAGGCAGAAGGAGAACGGCACGGAGGGTGAAGGAGGATAGGACAAGAGGTCGACGGCGACGAGGGGAAGGGGGGGGGAAAGGAGCGGGAGGACAGAAAGGAAAGAGAACGCGAGTATGTGTGTATATGTGTTTAGCCGCATATATGGATGTGGATGTATCTTGGTTGGCGCGGACGCGCGCGCGCAGGAACAACGGAAAGTACGGAACGTAATACGGAGAAAACGCTGGTAAAAGGAAAGAGGCCCCTCT